TCATATCACTTTGCGGCCTCACGCACGGTATTCCCACGGGTGTCGCCTTACCTTTGCCCGGGACCGTTTGCGCCTTTTGGCACACGTATATGACAGTGTCGCTAGCATCCATATGATAAGGAGCCCGGGCTGACATGGCTAGTCGTAAACCCAAAGTGGCACAGACTTACAGGGACAGGCATCCATGACCCAGCATCGAACGTGTCGGTCATCAGCGAGCGAATCCAGGCTGTAGCACTGGGCTAGCAGGACTCCGGTGAACCGGGCTGTAGCGGGCTAACAGGACTCCGGTATTCATCGCGTGACATTTCCCCGAAGGGACAGACACAGGAACGAAGAAGGACACATGCCGGCCAGCCTAAATGTTTCGGAGCAGTAGCAAGCTACCATGGCTCAGTGAAACACTAGGAGACATTTCCCGGTAAGAGAGGCTACTAAAGATAAACAACTAGATGGTCAGATCCCACACATACCAAGCATTTCAATAACATACACACAATATGCTCGATATGTGCAATACAACATGGCATCACAAAATGACTCTACGACTCAAGTAGTTTATTCAATAGGCTCCGAGGAGTGAGATATTACAAACATGGGTCTCATGACCCAACACTCAGAGCATACAAGTCAAAGCACAAGCGGAAGCTATCATGTCTGGGTACAGACATCTATAAATGAAAAAGGCTGAGAAGCCTGACTATCTACCAGATTCTGCCGAGGGCACAAGATCGTAGCTGAGGTATCAAGCTAAACGTCGAAGTCCAAGCGGAACTACTAGTGAGACTGAAGTCTCTCTGCAAAAACATAAAATAGGCAAACGTGAGTACAAATGTACCCAGTAAGACTTACATCAGATCTATCTACACATGCATCATTATCAACAAAGGGGATGGTGGAGTTTGACTGCAGCAAGCCAGCTTTGACTCGGTGGCTATCCTGAACTACGACTGCAAGTAACTCTTTTGAGGTGGCGCACACGAGTCCACATATTCACCATATCAATACACCACTATGGATCCGCCCCCGTCTCCCTACGAGAACGCCATCCATAGCACTCACGCTTATCTTGCGTATTTTAGAGTATCCACTTTCACTTGTCTATGAACTGATATAAGCAACCCAGAAGTCCTTTACCGCGGACACGGCTATTCGAATAGATGATGTTAACCCTGCAGGGGTGTACTTCTTCATACATGTTTCCACCACTTAGCGTCTGCACACGACATGTGCTCGGCAGACTTCAAGCGAAAGCCGACGTGGGTGTAGACCACGACCTACCTAAACACCTAAGTCTCTAGTCCAGGTTTATCGCCTATTCGGGTTCCATCCATGAGGAGATCCGGCCGGAGTTTCGCTCACAGCCCCAAACGATGTGAACAGGGTTCCGTGACACCAAACGGGTGCCCGGTTTACCCGGCCACGTGCCTACCGCATCACAGCCCACCCCTACGGTCAGCGCTTTCCACGGCCTCCAGCATACTACAAACACCAGAAACTACTTGCAACTCCTGGACAGAGGACAAGGGTGAATAAGAAGTCGAGCGGGGTCATATTTCAGGGCCCAATGTATGGTAGTAGCTGAATCATGGATCACAAACACAGAACTCAGTTCCTGAGGACGGCTGCAATGAGACAACCCACCATGTACTCCTACATGGCCTCTCACCGCTACCTTTACCAAATCGTGTTCACACACTTCGCTCACACACAGTAGGACATGTTCACACGCCTCTGATTCATCCCCGATGAATCAGACCTGACTCAACTCTAAGCAATAGCAGGCATGACAACAAGCATGAATGAGTAGGCACATCAGGGCTCAAACAACTCCTACTCATGCTAGTGGGTTTCATCTATTTACTGTGGCAATGACAGGTCATGCAAAGGATAAAGGGGTTCAGCTACCGCAGCAAGTAACAAAATGTCGTTGTTGTCCTAATGCAGTAAAAGAGAGCAGGAGCGAGAGAGTGGGATTTTATCGAAATGAACAAGGGGGTTTTGCTTGCCTGGCACTTCTGAAGATAACATTGAGTCTTCATCAGTGTCAACGATCACATCATCGGTATCACGTCTATCGAGAGGGGACAAATACCGGCAACACAGAAGGAACACAATCAATGCAATGCACAATATGATGCATGATCATGACATGGCAAAATGAATGTGTTTTGAGCTAATGCAATTAGCAACAGATTAGATGAAGTTGGTTTGAATACAAGATTCAAATTCAAACTCCATATGTGATTATTCAAATGCCATTTAATTGATTTGTGCTAAACAGCACCTATAAGTTATTCTAACATGCATGAAAATGGTACAGATGGATTCCTTGAATTTTTCTGATAATTTTTCATATATAATTTATTTAATTTGGAGTTACGGTTGAATTTCTATGAATTTTAGAAGTTTATACAATTTTCTGGAATTTTCAGAATTAAATTAAATCCAGAAAACATTACTGCGTCAGCATGACGTTGGCATGACGTCAGCAGGGTCAACTGGGCGCCCCAGGTCAAACCTGACGTGTGGGGGCCACACGTCAGTGACACAGGAGCTAATCCCGGTCAAACCCAGCGCTGACTGGGGTTTGACCAGGGGTGGGGCCCACTATCAGTGGCGGTGGGGGTGTTTAGTGTGGTCATTAGTGCTGACTAAATCAGCGCCACGTCACCCTCGCCGGAGTTACGCCGGCGGCGACCACAGAGCACGGCGGGGGACACCGGACTGGCGCTAGGGGCATCGGATCGACGCGCCAAGGGCACCAGGAAGTAGCCTGCGCCCATGCGCATCTAGGGGGACCAACGGGGGGGTGCGGGGGTGCCCGGGGTTCGCCGGAGTGGAGCCCGAGGCGGCGGCCGGAGCTCGGGTGGGTGCGGGGTTAGCGCTGCGGCTTGCAAACGAGCTAGCTGCCACGCTAGCGTTACTCCACGGGTCGTTGCGAGTGCAACGGACGCACGCGCGGGGCCATTTGGTCACTGGGGCTTCGCCGGCGACGAGCCCGCGCGGCGACGGCTACGGTAAGCAAGGGGGCGGCGGCTACGGCAAGCAAACGAAGGCGGGATTAGGGGGAAGAGGACCGGGGGCTCACCACGGTCACGAAGAGATGCTCGGCGAGGTCGGGGACGGTCCGGAGCCGGCGAATTTGACGAAGATGGCCGGCGGGTCCGAGGTAGAAGACGACGGCGATGGCGGCGATGCAGGGCTTCCGGAGGGCTGTGGAACGGTGAGGAGGAAGAGGGGGTCGAGGCGGAGCTCCTGGGTGCATCGGTGAGGCTAGGGGTGGCCGGTGGCCATGGGTACGGCGACGATGACGGCGAGCTCCGCTCGGTGGTGTGCGCGGGAGGGAAGCAGAGGAGGGAACGGGGTCCAGGGGAAGAGAGGGGAGGTGCAGGGGGCGAGGGGGAGTGCGTGGCGCCCTCGGGTGCCTCCAGCGGCGAGCAGGTAAGCAGGAGGTGGCCGGAGCGTGCGCGCGCGCGTCGGGCACACGCCCTCCTGCCTACTGGCAGGAGGTTGAAGACGGTGGCGACCGCGGTGGGCTGGGCCGCACAGTGCTGGACCAGCACAGGAGCTGGGCCGGCTCTGGTGGGCTGCACGGGTGAGGCCAGGTAAATTCTGTTTTATATTTTTCTGTTCTGTTTTGTTTTATTTAACTTATTTTGCCACTGTTTTGAATTTAAAATAATTCAAACAATGCCAAAAACTCCTCTGAAAATATTTATGCTGCTTAATGGACTTTTCCAAAAGCACATAAAATATTTCAGGGTATTTGGAAATATATTCTATACAAGTTATGAATATAGTTTCAAATGCAAATAAAGTAATGATTTAAATTCAGTGCTCAAAATATTCCTCAAAAATGTTCATTATTTTTGGTTTGGTGCAAAACCCTTGCCAAAATATAACCAACATTATTTAAGGCCATTTTGAAAACATTGAATGCATTTACCAGGGTTCTTTGCCCCTCTTTTATTTAAGTTTTGAGGCTTCCAATTTCCCTCAGTTCAAATTTCAGAATTTAAACATGATGCACACATGAAGCTAGCCTAGAGCATTACCAGAAGCTAGGGATGTGACACCTCTGGGAGGAGACGGGACCACCGTTGCTGCCGTTGGTCCTCCTCCTTGCCGAAGGAGCTGGCCGCGTGGATGCCGAGGGGCCCAGAGAGCGAGGATGGCGGTGCCAGGAACCGCCTGATGAAGAGATGCCACCGCAGCGCCTACCTGCATGGAGAACCAAGACTTCGACATCGCTGTTGGAGTTGGAGGGGCTCCGAGAGGACGGAGAGGAGGAGGGGCTCGAAGAGGACGAAGTGCGGATGTGCATCGCCGGCGCACGGCTTAAATAGTCATGACCAGTCCAGTCGAATGGGCATTCAGCCCGCTTCAATGCGGCACAACTGTTGGAGTTGGTTTGCTAAGGACGCGGCGTCCACATTGAAGCGACGACGCCCGAGAAGTCGCGTCTATCAGCGCTGCCCTCACGCCCGGTCACATCGCACGGCATCACTGCCGGCCGTTTGCATACTCTGGGCCGGCATGAATATAACGCGGCAAGCGGCGCATGCATTCGATGGAAAAAGCGCGAGTGCAGCGACCCGCCCGCCCGCAAAGGCCTCATTTCATTTCGGATTTGCGGAAAAAACATGTTTAGATTGGTCAGTAAACCGATGTATACCTGCCTTGAATGGCAAAACACATCCCGACACCGCACGGCCACGACGGCTACGGATGTTTAAGGGTCCGCGTTGAAGATGCTACAAGGCAGAAAAAGAAAACCTGGAGACTCTCTCTCTGCGATGACTCTCTTTAAATTTTCTTGAGTTGCCTTTTAAGTTGTTTCTATCCACGTGAGCAACGCAGATACACCGATACAAATCATCAGTTCGGTACACAGTCCGACCCCCAGCCCGTCCCGTTCCGTCAAAACCAGGGGAAAAAACCAACCGAACGAACTCTCCCGATCCGCCCGACCCGATCCCCAAATCCCTCCGCATCTCATGGCGGCGAGCCTGTGGCGAGCGGTGATGGGCACCGGCGCCCCGCCCGCGGACGCCACGGACGGCATCGAGTTCTGGCGCGAGCCGGAGCGCGGCGGGTGGCTGGACAAGCAGGGCGAGTACATCAAGACGTGGCGGCGGCGGTGGTTCGTGCTCAAGCAGGGGAAGATCTTCTGGTTCAAGGACTCGTCCGTCACGCGCGCGTCCGTGCCCCGCGGCGTCATCGCCGTCGCCTCCTGCCTCACCGTCAAGGGCGCCGAGGACGTGCTCAACCGCAAGTTCGCCTTCGAGCTCTCCACCCCGGGCGAGACCATGTACTTCGTCGCCGACTCCGACAAGGAGAAGGAGGACTGGATCAACTCCATCGGCCGCTCCATTGTCCAGCACTCCCGATCCATGACCGACGACGAGATCGTCGACTACGACAGCGGCCGCCCCGCGGCCGGCGGCAAATCATAGATTCGTCGATTGATTCGGTGAGCAAAAGGACCGGTGAGGCGGTGGCACCTGTAACTCTACTATTCTACATGTCTTTGTCATAGATTCTTTTAGTTCATATTTTCCACAGATATGGTGTGTGCACATGTATATTATTAGAGATTTTTATTGGTGATTTTAGGTGTCTTTATTTATACTATGGATCGGTTTTGTTCTTATAACTTTCTTTAAGTATACTGTTCGATTTGTATTTGGTCCTTAAATGTTCTTATTATCCAAGTGTATATCTCAAGCCGTAGCAAATTGAACAAGGGGATATTTCTCGGTGTTTTTGACTTCTGTGTATCTAATTGTCTGATAATATTTGGCCTGTTATGACTGGATATGTAGTGGGCTGCTAACCGTAAAATCATGCAATGCATTGTATCTTGTTCGTTCAACATCTTGGTTTGCCTACTCCAGCGTTTCGTTGACCATTATGAACTCAAAGCAGTGCTTGTGCACAGAAAAAAAAATGGTAACCCTCCGTTGCCTTCAGTCAGTATCAACAGACAGAAGCGATTGCATGATTGCGTTCCACTTTAACATGGATAGACATGTAGTGCTTGTGTTTTATAAGCTTATCACTTAAAATAGCTTTTGTGCTAATCGCTTAACCATGTTGAGAACATCTGCAAAGCTGCAAGTAGCAGTATTTAAGTACATCAATATGGTTCGGACGGGGAAGCGGGATCCTCTCCAGGAGGTGGGTGCTTAGAGACAAAAAGTTCCGGTGCATAAAGTTGAAAAAGTTGAAATGGAGAGGAGGGATGCATGTGTAGTGAGAGTCACTTTCTATTCTTTGATGAGGTCACTAGTAGTAGCTTGCATTGGGGAGAAAAATTCAACACATATGCTTCAAATTACTTTTTGTCATGAGGCATCTGTATTCATATGCCACCATTGTACATGCCCTAAGCAAATCATGCGAAAACAGCTGTAAACAGTGATGTTATGAGTAATGATACCTCCAATTATATTCCTCCACCTTATTACTGAAGATGCCAGGTCCCCATCTCATCATTGGAAATGGCTAAGCTGAAGAGCTGAATGCTAACATCATTCCTAACATTATTGTGCCGTCCACGTGGTAGATACATGTGGTTAGTATTGTACTTATGTTCCTGCAAAAAAAACATTGCACTTATGGAGATAATAGTTTCACAGTACATCCTGATAAGATAACTCTGTCTTACGGAGGCTAGCTGCGTAGATGTGATTTTTCTGTTTCTGTTTCTCTAATTATTTCGTGACTTATGAATGTTATATGCGTATCTCTGATTCAAGGATACTTGCTTTGCATGCCCAGCAAGATAATGTTCTGTAGAGACATTTATCTGTTAAATGTACCAAAGTATTGAAGTGGGATAAAGTTCACATATTTTTATATGCCAACTTGGCAACTTAGATGTATGGAGCTTGGAGACAACACTCTGCGTCAATTTTGAAACAGGTATATGAATGTAAGTTCGGTTGGGAATGCAGACTCCTGGTTGAGGTTGAGCAGCTAGGTTCTGGTGCATGACCTATGAAATATGACGCCTATACTAGTTTGACTTGTTAAGAGTACATTCTTGTTTAACGCAGGGATCTTTGCAGCTCTGATGGTAGTTTTCTGACAAAAATCAACGCACTTTGAATTTCCAGCATTACATATCGTAGGCTTCTGTTTTACCAAGTCAGTGTCGTTGTACCTGTGACATGCTCTTCAATATCTTGACTACATGCCAGACTTGTAAATGTGGTATAGCCATTTGTGATGTAACTGCAGCTTTTTGAGCTTGCCGTATTTGACTGTCCACTATAATCGCATTACCATACAGTTGATTTGGCTTACCAGGATTTGTATGCCGCTTCTCCTACATCAGACAATCCTATTTTAATCATGATCACTAATTTGATCTGAGGGGATTCATTTGGAGAACAAGTTGGCAATAGAGCTGACTTATAATTTTGTAAACGTCCTCACTTCTTATTTTGTTCAGATTCAGGCCCCAGTATTTCAAGCGCACACAAAGCAAACTCACGATGCTCGTCGCAGACCGACCAAATCCTTTTACCCCTTGAAACGGGTTTTTGCCTCACTTTATATACTCTCTCCTTAAAAAAATATAAGAGCGTTTAGATTACTAGAGTTTAAGTGCACAAAGAAAAATAGAAGAATTGCTGAAGCAACAGCACAGACATGCCAAAAAAATGATACAAGGCTCCACGGAGTAGACGACACGCAGGCTAGGAGCCTAAGCAAGGAGTAGACGACACGCAGGCTAGGAGCCTAAGCAAGGCGGCGTTCGACCGTAATGAGAGCATTGATCACACCCCTTAGCCACTCCATGTCCCGCTGCCTAGCAAGCGGGTGCCAGTGCTGCAAAAAGGCTGGAAACTTGAACACAGAGCAAAGCAAAGCAACATTTCTGGACTTCCATAAAGGTCCAGCAACCTACAGGCAGCCCAAGAAACTGAACATATTAAAATAGCCACAAGCTTACATTTCCAAGGGAATAGGTTGCCCAGAGTTCTAACTCATGTTCTTATACTGCGATCAGGCAAATAATTTCTTCTTATTGCCGTGTTTTGGAAAAGCTTCATCGGCATCCTCGCTTGAACGACAATCAGTAATTATTTGCATACAGTTTGTCTGATTGCATCTGCTTGTCTGCAGATACCCATCTACTAAAATGAAAGGAAAGATCCTACACCCACATTAACTGGCCTATAAACTCAAATACACTGAATTGCTGGCCTTTCATTCCATGGAATTTTCTGGTAGAGAAAGATGAGTATCTTATCTTGAAGTGGAGCTAAGCTCGACAAGGGAAGCGTAGGCTCCATCCTTGATCCGCAGCAGTTCTTCATGCCTTCCTTTCTCCACTATCGTCCCGTTCTTCACCACGCTGATAATGTCGGCGCCTCTCACAGTCGACAGGCGATGCGCCACCACCACAGTCGTCCTCCCGACCATCACCTGGTCCAGTGCCTCCTGCACCACACGCTCTGACTCCGCGTCTAGAGCGCTCGTTGCCTCGTCCAGCAGGAGCACCTTGGGGTCCTTGACGACGGCCCTCGCGATGGCTACCCGCTGCTTCTGCCCGCCGGACAGCTGGATTCCCCTCTCGCCGACGACGGTGTTGTAGCCGTCGGGCAGCCCGGAGATGAACTGGTGCGCGTTGGCTGCTTCGGCTGCAGCCACGATCTCTTCTTCGGAGGCCTCCCCTTGCTTTCCGTAGGCTATGTTGGCGCGGATGGTGTCGTTGAACAGCACTGGCTCCTGCGCCACGAGCCCAATCTGCAGCCGAAGCCAACTGACCTTGAGGGCCGGAAGCTCAATGCCATCAAAAAGGATCCTGCCTGAACTCGGGTCGTAGAACCTCTCGAGCAGCGCAATGGCAGTGGACTTTCCACTTCCACTCTCTCCAACAAGGGCAGCCGTCTGTAAAGATAGTGTCACCAGATTAACCTTCGTACTAGCTAGCATACTTATTAGTTAACATAGAAAGAAGGTTGTCAAAAAAAAGTTGACATAGAAAGAAAGTAACCTTTCCAGAAGGAATGCTCAAGGACAGATCAGTGAATATTTGAACATTTGGGCGTAAGGGGTAGCTGAAGCACACATTCTGGAACTCAATGTCACCCCTGAGATTTGCAACCACCATGCCCTCCTCGCTGCTGGAATCTATCTTGGACTTACGGTCAAGAATTTCGAACACGGAGATGGCCGATTCACTAGCCTTGGTGCTATCTGCACCTACTGCGCTTGTTCGTGAGATCCCACTAGCCGCCAAAACTAATACGAAGAAGACCTGAGAATCGGTGGATTAGTTAACAAAAATACGAGGTTAGAACAATCAACACTCAAGTTCTGAATAAGAATAATGTGCTCGTACCCGAAACACTTCAGGAAATGTTGCCGTTCCTCCATGAACAAACTTTGCACCGACGTAGAAGCAGAGAGCATAAGTAAGGTAGAACACAAGGAACGAGAACCCAAATCCCAAGCCACCAACAACACCTTCCCTCACTCCCTGCCTTGTTGGAGATTCACATTTCTTTTCATAGGCATCCATCACCTTCTGCTCTGCGCAAAACGACGCCACAGTTCTGATTCCTCCAACGGCGTCGGTTGCTACTTGACTTGCTTCCTCGTACTTTAACTGCATCCCACCAAACTATTAGACAAAACAACTCTCCATCTGACGAATACGTGTATGAACATTGGTCATTTTGTTGGTGTTGTTTTTGAGGAAAAATGAATAAAAGTAATTGCTAATTCACAGCATGCACCTTTGCGTTTTTATTGAGACCTTTCAGGAACTTCATTTGAGCATAGGCTTGGAAACCCACCAATGGAACCACCACTGTGATAATCAATGCCAGCTTCCAGTTTGCCACCATAGCTATTGTGAAACCTACTATGATGGTTGATATAGTCTGGACATTAAGTGCTAAATTTTCTCCTACAAGCCGCTTCACGTTCAGAGCATCAGTCGATAGCCTTGCACCTATTGCTCCACTAGAACAAAAGTTGAAACTTGTCTAAGTTAATCTGTAGAATATTGCACTAGTTGACAAGTATAACTCTTCACAATTTTTTATTTGAAAATGCCAGATGGATTAATCTTAGTATTGATAAAAATTGTAAGAAGACTGCTCAAGCTAGTTAGCATGAATGAATATTCTTAAAAAAATCTGTATACTAACTGTTAGGGCAAAAGGAAGATTTGTGACAACACATCATGATGCGAAAAAGACTAAACACAGACCTAGAGTGTTCAGGTTTATCAAACCAGTTGATGTCCTGGTGCATGACACTTCGGAATGTCAGCGACCGTATGCGCTCCACAAGCTTCCCACCTGCTAATCCAAACAAGAAGTACTCTATTGGAATCAGAACAAGTGCACAAGCACCCAGCATGGCAAACATGCTTGCCCAGAACCTCGAGTCCTTGAGTAGTTCTGCTGGCGGCTCATAAAACGTCTTTATT